TACATTTCCGCTTTCCCTGTGGTACTGTGTGTGCTATTTATCATCTGTTCAATCAAATTGACTAATTTGATAGCATCAAAATTCTATTAGTGGTTTTTTTGACTGCTTGCCTGACTGAATCATGTTATACTATATTACGCTGTCAAGTACCTTCTAAGAGGTTTGCTTTTCATGGCATAAGAAGTCTGTTCTCAAATCCTCTGCTGATAGAGCCTTTCATGTTCATGAATCTTCTTAAGCGAGTTGCAGTCTCCTGGATAAATTATATGAAAGTATGAGTAATTGCACAAATAGAGATCCATCTGAGTGTATATGTTTCTTCTGTCAGTTTATAAAGTTGCACCCGATAGATGGTCAACATTCTGTGAAACTTTTGGAGTATTGAATCCAAAGAACACTTTTAAATCTAAAGCTTGAATTTAATACGGGGTAGTTCTTCACTGAAGTATTATTAAATTATAGTCTTTTGATATTGTCATAACCCATGGGTTGCTATTTAAAAAAAAAAAATGACAGATTTTGTAATTTTCTTTTTCTGCTGTTATCTTAAAAGACAGTGCGACAACTTAATTGTTTAAAAACAACTCAAATGCAGTAACAGAAACAGTTTGGAGATAGAAATGGCCTACCAAGACTGTAAAAGCAAAAGCTAAACTACCAGAATTGTTTTTCAAGAAAACCTCTTTGTCATGCCGTTAACTATTAGTAGCATTTATGACATTGAGGAAAATAACTTTGCGTTGCTCCCTTAAAATAGGGCTGATGCCAGTCAATACCAGCCTATCAGGACCCAATGATACTCTTTTAGGAATCTGAATTGATTTCCAAAGCTGTCTCCTGGATCCTAGTCATGTAGCTCCGGTAGCCTGCTTGAGCTGACTGAACTCAGTTCAGAAGGAATCAGCTTTCCTGAAAAGGCAGATAAAATGATTTTCATTAGATGACAAAAAGGATAATGTCCTCCATAGTGTGTGTGTGTGTGCCTTTTTATTAAGGTTCTACCATCCCTTAGCAGAAGGGTTTTATTAGATTCTTCTACATAAGGTTTTAAAGAGAATTTCTCATACGTTGCTTAGCCTAAAAGTGATATTAGTGTAGACTTCATCGTATGAAGTGCATTTATTTTGATGAGCATCTGTCTTTCAAGGATCTAAAATACGATGTTGGTGGAGGGGAGAAATTTGACTCTCTGACAGATCTAGTGGAACATTATAAGAAGAACCCTATGGTAGAAACTTTGGGCACAGTATTGCAACTCAAGCAGGTGAGTGAATGGAGAAGACACCACTAAGCTTTGTTACCTTCAGCATATATTGTTGAAGTGCAGGTTTTTCTCTGTGTTCTGTGAGACGTAATTTTTTTTTTCTTTCCTAACGCAAAAATGAAGAATTAAACTTCGTGATGGATGACAAAGTCAGTCATTTAAATGGGAACAATTTTTTATGTGCCTGTGAAGGATAGACTCTTGTGTCTCTGCATGCAGAACTTCTCTTGATTTCATCGTGGTCCATATAGGGATTGCAGGACTAGTTCAGAAACGGGACAACTTAATGTATTGAAGAACAACTGTGAGATTTTATCTAAGAGCAGTTGTTCCCTGCCCCCTTACTCTCTACTCTCACTGCCCTTCATTGTATGAATTGTAAAGTTTTGAAGTCCAAGTAGATGCCTGGATCCTAGTATTGCCTATATAAAATATACTTCATGTAGGGTATTTGTGTTTTAACTGTCTTCTCACAGTTGTCATTTGTTATACCTTTGTTTAATATTTGTATCTTTCTTAGCCTCTGAATACTACCCGTATTAATGCTGCAGAGATTGAAAGCAGAGTGCGAGAGCTAAGCAAGCTAGCAGAGACTACCGATAAAGTCAAGCAGGGCTTCTGGGAGGAATTTGAGGTACTTCATTACGTTCCAAGTGTTATGGTATTAAATCTCTACATTACTAAAAAGTTAGGTTTGTTACTGCCTTCTTGACATTTTCTCATCTCCTCTGTTTCTTAAGATCCCTGTTCTTGCTCCCGTCTTCTGTGTGAGGTACAGCATGTGTTAAAATCGTACTGGTTCCACTCTTGTGTCTGCTAGTAAAATGATTTAAATATTTGCCTTTTTTCCTGACTCTGAGAGCTAATTATGTTCTTTGATGCTATTCATTCAGTACCTAGCACAATGCCTCCTGAATATCCTCCCCATCATGAGGGGAGTCTTATGCACCAGGACAATTAATCAGGTTCCTTCCTGTTTTCTTTTTCTTCATGTGGACAGGAAGAGGTCTGTAGGCTGGATTAACGTTTCTGGATGAAAAGGACTAATTCCTAGCCTACTTTACTCTTGGTGACCTGAGTATCAGTACAGTAGCGATATCTGATGCAGTTGGAATATGCCAGATGTGTTGTGCATATGAAGGGAATTGCACTGTGCTTTCTGTTGTGTGTCTCAGTGCAGAGGATGTTCGGGTTTGCACTCTGCTATATTTGGGAAGTTGGGTACCATTGCTTTAAGGAAACTTCAGTGTGATTTCTCAGTCAGTATATGCTCTTGCCCTTGAGTTTGTGGCTTTTCGATAGCAATTTTTTTGGTCTTAAAACTATAGTGAAGCAGTAGTGGTAGCAAGCTTTGAGGTGAAGCAACTCTGATATATGTATTCCTTGGACTCCTGGAGATTTATTTTTGTTTTGTTCGGGTGTTTAATTTCTGCCTGCAGCCAAAATTCCATTTCCTTCCTAGAAAGTAGCACTGCCTTCCCTTCTGTCTTATCCACGCACCTCGTGTGTGTTTAACATAGCTGTGCTGGCCCAGCTCTCCCCTTCTTTGAAGTCCTAATGATTTCAGGGAGCTGCTTATGTTTGAAATAAAATACAGCTGAAACTGTTAATTTCTGAAGTAGAGCAAATTAAGTATGAGTGTTGACTAACACATTCCAAACTACTTGAGTCTAGTCTGGGTCCTAACCCTTCTCTGACAACTGGAGTTGCTTAACGTGGTGGTCATCGCTAAAAGCTTTAGAAGTGTCTTAAATATAATGGACTGGTTTGTACCACACACGTAAGAAAACCACAGCAGAATCTGGAACTCCACCAGCAGATGGCAACAGGAAACTGGGAAGTCCTGATCTTTGACAGAGGCTGGTTTGGGCTGTGTAATGCTATTTTGAGAAACTTCTTGAATACTGATGGATTTGCAAAGCAACCATTCCTGAAGAAACTCTTTTTTTGATTAGACATACTCATTAGCTGAATATACCGTCCAGTCTGGTCTGAAATTGGTGTCAGGAGGAAAAAAAAAAAAAAATGCACGAAAAGCATTCTTATCCTCCTTGACTGAGGACTGCTGAATGGTCAGAATCCCAGCTGGAGGGGTAAGCAAGCCAGCAGAGGCTACTTTGGCCATTGCTGAGGACCTGTTCTACCTGCTGGGGCTCTGTTCTCCCTGAACAGTAGAATGGTGGATCCTCTGGGGAGCAGTTCTCATCATAACCTTGCCTGAAGGCAAACTGGCCTCAACCTTGGTATTGCTTCTCTTGCAGAGTTCAACGTGTAAACTTTGATATGAGGCCTGAAGGGTTGGGAAGATTAGCCACACCTGCTCTAATGCCTAAATCTTGCATATGGGAATTAACTCCTTTTTCCAAAGACTGATTAGTGGTGTGCCTTATCATATCATGATACAGTCATGTAGATTGTGCCTGTGATCACTGGGTGGTTTGGCCTCAACGTACATTTGCAAGTTAGCCAAGCAAAGGGTGTCTGTTGGCTTTCCCTTCTTTTTCTTGAGGGAAGCATTCTTGTGCGGTGTGTTTAGGAATGGATTGTTGATTTGTCAACATATAGCTGCACTATTACCTGAAACTTATGACTTCTTTTCTGACCTCTGGTCTTTGTGAAATACATTAGTTTTGTAATGGATTTATCAGTTGGTCCTTAGAAGCAAGCTGTTTTCCTGTCTTGTGACTCCTGAAGAAGAGTATTTGCTAGCAAGCTGGAAGTCTTACAGAAAAAGTAAATGTAAGAAACAAAAGATTTTACCTGTGAGACATTCTACTTGTCTTTCCCCTTCACTGCTGCTAGTGAGGTCAGCACTAAACCTTATTTTTTACTCCCATGTGTTTTTGGAAATGAAGCAGTCTCGTTGTCATGCTTTTTCATTCACCTCAGGTAAGCTATAGCTGTCAACCTTGGTGGCAGGAGGCAGCGGGGCAAGCTCCAGGTTGTCCATGGCGCTCTGCCTGTGCTGTTTATGATTTGGCAGTCCAGATGGTAGTTATAAATTACTTGTCTTCAGGCATATTTAAGACGGCTGTACCTCTTGTCCTGTGAACCACTGGACAGACATGTTGACAGTCCTTGTAATGTTTTTGCTTCTAAAAATGGCTCTTTGGTGAGCTTAATGCTTGTATGCTGTAGTGAAATTGAGGACTACGTTTCAGATTTATTGTTGCATTGTGTACATCTCTTAACGGGCTTACTAGAAGTTGCTGCTGCTCATGGATCTCTCCTCAGGGATGCTTAAAGCAATAATAATTAACTGTATGAAGTGAAGATGTGTTTGAATCTATGGTTTCCACACACTTAAGCGTTTCCATTTTTTGACCTGCTATCAAAGTTTAGCTTTCAGTTCTTTTGCTTGGCATTTCACTTGGCTTAGACTCAAAAGTGTTAATATTCTATAAAAGTGCTCTGTGATAAAGGCACTTGAAAGACTCCTGCAGTGTGGCAAGAGGTGAGCTTACTGCAAAGTGCTGTTTCACCCATCGCTAGCAGTAGCAAGCAATGCTCTGTGGGGATATGCTTTCTGTGTTTGCTTCATAAGCATGAAACTTCACAGCTCACCTGTATTGCTTTTGTTCTTTGGTTTCCCTGTCTTTAGGATAAGCCTAATTGTCCAAGGTCACTATGTGAGGCAGTAACAGAGACTGAAATAGAAGTGAGCAAATGTGCTTGACATGCCCAAGCTTTATAATAAAAGCAATCTCTGCAAGAGTATTAAGGGTCGTAATAACAAGGGGAGCAGCTTCCAAAGCCTGAGTGTTCCAAGTTTTAATCCCAAAAGTAGTATTGGCCTGACTAAAAGGAAAAAGACGTTGATATTCTGGTCCCTCGAGCTTCATTGCAAGTAGAGAGGTTTTCTACTGAGCAGCTGTGAGGTATGGAATTGCTCTTGTCCCTGTCATATTAATTGTGAACCGGGCACTGAGAAATTAGCTCCTTGCCGACAGGAGAAATCCCCATGCAGATTTATTGTTTCGCACTAGGATGATTTATGGGTAACCCTGTTTATAGTTACTTAATGCCGCCCCCCTCCTCCCCCAACAGGGTAATATGAGAAAGTCTGTGCAAAATTTTGTACTGATGTAGTGAAATGGCCTTGTGTTGGTAGGAGAGAATAATTAGAGTGCTTAAAAAGTGTTACGTGGCTATGATGGTGGGTTGTACGTTGACATTTTACCTGTCTCATCCATAGCTTTGAAAATACTGTAGCATTCCTATGTGGACTTTTGTTTTGGGGAAATAGAAGCAGAATATTAGGAAGATATCCTTGTCTAACTGCTGAAAGGCTTTTCACTGTGCTTGATATTAAATATGGCTGCTTGTGTTGATGTGCTTTGGGTTTTCTGTATGCTTCTTCCTCCTCTTTGGCTGTCTAGAGTTGGTCTGGCTGCAGCTTGCGAGGATCCGCTCTTGAGATGTTGCCGTAACACAGCCTTTGTGATCTCAGGGACTTGTTTTGGGGGCTTCCCAGCAGCGTTACTACAGGCTCACTGTAGCTGAAGGAGCAGAAGAAGGCTGGTAAGGCCTAGAGGAATCCAGTACAGCTTGGGTAGAGAAGCACTGGATCACAAAGTGCCTTACTCCTTTGCAGGTTGGCAATGCTTTGAATGCATTAGTTACTAATCTTTATTGGTACTAAAGCTAATGCCAGTTCAGTGGAAATTTAACTCCTTACCTGCCTGATTTGGCAAAAAGGAGAAATGTGGTAGTACTCTTAACTTTCATGCTTGGTGAGAAAGGCCTAGTGATAAATATGTTTGTTTAGACCTGCTCTGTAGAATGCTGCTTGTGGTGTTTGTTTATTTAGCGTGCCTTTTAAGACAGCCAGATTTCCACAGACAAAATTTTGGTGTGGTCCTTTGTAACCAGTTATATTTCCCTTGCACAGTGCTTTGCAGCTAAAAGCTTTAAGGGACCAGCTTGCATCTGCTTGGTCAGAACAGTTTCATGAGGAATTGCTGGTTACAGTTTGTTGTTTAAAGAAGCTTTGAATTCTTCGGTGTTTATCAGGTGGAAAATAGCTTGCCTTTTCACTCACGCTTCTCTGTTTCTTATATACGTTGGAAGCAATGTTGTACTAAGTCTGAATGGAGAAATCCAGTATATTTCTCTCTCTCTCTCTCTCTCTCTCTCTCTCTCTGACTGTCTGGCAGTCAGGTAATCAGAACTGACTCTCTAATCAAGTATCATTTTTGTGAGAAAGGATCGTTGCCAATGATAGTAGACAGTCCATACTGCTTTTATTAAAACCAGTTACTTTTGTGCTGTTTTCATTTAGACTTTACAGCAGCAAGAATGCAAACTTCTCTATAGTCGTAAAGAAGGTCAGCGTCAAGAAAACAAAAACAAAAATAGATACAAAAACATTTTACCCTGTAAGTATTGATTTCTTTCATTATCATGTAAGCCTGCTACTTTTCTATGCTTTATTTTCTTAGCTCGTAAATACAGGGTTAATTAATCACCACTGTCCTTTTTCTTCTCTTGAAGAGTGATAATTTCCCCTCTTATGTTGTCAGTATTAGCCCATGCAATTTCCAATCTGTGTTTAAACATTTGCACTTTGTAGATACCGATATTTCTATTCCCAAGTATTGTTTTTGTCTTCAGCTTTCATTTAAGAGTGTCACATCCCTAAACTGTTACTCAGAAAAACTGAATGTTTAAATATAAGAGGATTAATTTGTGGTACAAAACTGCGTGGTGCAAATCCAGTGGCCATTCACATTGACTTCGTGCTTGACTGTCCATGTACTCATGAGTTACTAGGGGTCATGAACACTTATTTTGATCTAGCTTGTTATGAATTGGCCACTTGTTTTAAGAAATGGCAAAAGAGGAGAGGTTGACTACTCTAGCCACTGATTTACTGTTTGATAACTTAATAGCTGCTGGTAGCAGTAAGGAATGTACCTGTCTGTGGGATATTTAAAAATAGCTGTGTGTTCACAGCTGTAGGATGCAAGTGCTTAACATACATCTATATTCTTCCAGTTGATCATACCAGAGTTGTTCTACATGATGGTGATCCAAATGAACCTGTTTCAGACTATATCAATGCTAATATTATTATGGTAAGTATATTCCTACCTACAGGAATCTTGTTGGCACAGCCCATGTCTACTCTTTAACATACTCTCCTAAATCCCAGTTAGTCTTGTAACTATTTGTCACCATTTGTTAAATTGTTTTTTCTCTAGCCTGAGTTTGAAACCAAGTGCAACAACTCAAAGCCAAAAAAAAGCTACATTGCTACTCAAGGTTGCCTACAGAACACAGTGAATGATTTTTGGAGGATGGTATTCCAGGAGAATTCTCGAGTTATTGTTATGACAACAAAAGAAGTTGAAAGAGGAAAGGTAAAAACAGACTCTGAAACTGGCCTTAGGAAAGGTCATGACATTTGAATGCAAGTAAGGACTAAACTGACTTGGTCATATTGATTTATATGCTGAAATCTGGTGTGCTACCACAGTCTTTGGAGACCTGGAAGGTGTTGAGTGTCCTTTTTTATTGTTGCCTGTGGGAATTGAGGGTACGCTCATATCATCAGGCCTCCCTTTTTTAAGGGTCAACTGATTAAATTTTAGCTACTGAATGTACATCTATGTATTTTAAAATTATTTAATGAATGAGGGACTGGAATGCAAGATGTAGCCAAACAGGCATTCTGCATACTTGAAGGGGTTAACTCCCTATTCCTGTAACAAAAGTATTGCCATTTATTTTAGCTTACCAAGCTTACTTTTCTAGACTTAACTAGAAAAGTAGAATTGTGGGACTTTATTACTATAAGAATGAACTTAAATGGTACTGCTTCTTACCTAAAAACTACGATATAATGTGAAAATTATTGCCCCAGATTCACCTTATTCAAGTTGCATTGACTAGACTCTACTAGGGTGCTTTACTTTCTGTGCTTGAATTCGATAACGTTCTTATTACATGCTAAGCTAGTGATTACAACAGAAACTGTACCTGGTTATGAATCCCTCAACCAGGCAGGATTTAGTACTTTAGGAATAAAAGTGACTTCTTTTGCCTTTTATGCCCTGTTCTACATGAAGACAGCTGCCGGTTCAGCCTTGGGAATCTGTGAGCCCCTTGTGAACTGCTCTGGCAATATTTAATGCTCTGGAAGAGGAAATTTTCCTGCAATGCTGTATCCCAAGATCCTCCATTTTACCTTTAAAGTAAAGAGATTTGGTCTTGTTCAAGGTCTTCTGGCAAATCTGAGGCTATTACTTTGTTTCGGGGTTCTAATGATGTGGCAGGAAAGAATAGGAAGTGGTTGAATACTGATATTCTGGGAACAGTCACATACAGCTTCCTGAGTATAGTAAAGTTTTGTCTTTGGAATGTGTTGCTTCTGATCTTTTTTCTTTTTGGTGAACAGTTTCTGTTCTTTTTGTTGTTGTTTTTTAAAGTTTCTCTGCTTTTTTTGTGCACCACTGTCCACCTTTTTCAATAATTCGATGATCTGTTTCTGAATGGAAAGCTATTATCTTGTTACATGAGTGCCACTTTTGAAAAAAAGAAAAAAAGAATTGAAAATATAGCTGATATTTTTCTATGGGTGACTGATAATTGCAGGAGTTCCTCACCACTGCAACAGAAAAAGAGGCTTCTATGTATGTCTACTGAAGACAAATAGCAGTAGATTTTATGAGCTTCTCTTCCTAATCTAGGTATCAAAGCTGCCATTGATGGTGTTTGTAGAAACCATTAGGTTGTGTCTTGTGGATTTTTTAGGTTTTGTAAGCTTCTGGCCATTTGTCACCCATATAAAGGGGCATGATTTGTGTTTCCTTCCTGAGAATAAACTGAAGGAGCGAGAAGCTACCCCTTTCCAGTGACCTTCCTCTTGGATCTTTCTCTTGGAAGAAGAGAAACCAATTATGGGGTTGTTCTGGAAGAGTTAACTTGAATACTTTTTTTTTTTTTTTTTAATAACCTACTGAATGGCCTGTGCTTCTCTGCAGTTTCTCCATGATTCTTTCCAAATTTTGCTAAGCCTGTTTTCTGTGCTCTGGCTGTATAAAATACTTTACTGTCCAATGACTTGATCAGTGCTGCATGTATTGATTTTTTTTTTCCTTTATTCTTTTTTTTTTTTGTGTGTTTTACCTTGATGCCTATTTCACTTCTCCAAGAATTGCAAATAACAGTCCTGATATAAAAGTTTTTTTATCTCAGGCCAAGATGCTTTCAGATCTGCAGGAAGGAGAGAAACCTCTGCATCAGAGATGACTTTAAGAGCATGTTGCCTAAGGAAGTGAGGAACTGTGAAACATCTCAGATCTGCATAGAGTTCTGAATATGTTTAGAGTGCACCGTAGAAGCAGCAAATACTTACAAATTAAAATAGTGGTGTCTTGGAGGCAGTCCATTGAGCTGATAATACATGCATCCTCTCTATCAGACTAAAGCTTATTTTAACATTGCACATTACTGATCAGACTTGCTGTACCAACTGCTCTTGTGTTCAGAGTTCTGTATTGAAACTGCAAGTTATGTTGGCTAAGTTATATGCTAAGATCAACTTCTTTTCTTTAGCTTGTACTCTTTTGGAGAAGGCTGGGAAAGAAGGGCAAAAGTAACAAAAAAACATCTTGTTGCCCAAGTAGGCTGGAAACCTTGTGTTCAATGATCTCTTACTGTATCTTGTGTTGGCAGAAGGAACTTTTCTTGTTGCCATGTTTTCTCATAAATACGCAGTAGTAACTGCAAATAGGAAATGTTTTTCCCTAGTATTTGTTGTTTGGTCTGTGTTTGCTGTTGCTGGAAGCTGCATCTATATACCCACTATAATTTCTCATTTGATACTCTGTGGACTGGTACTGCATTCACAGGCTAGCAGGAGTCGCTCTTTCCTGGACTGTCACAGGAACCGAGTCAAAGTAGCAGTAGGTGAATCCATTCTTCAGTGTATGGAATCTATCCCTGGCCAAAAATAACCTTAAGAGAGAAGCAACACACCAAAAGCTCTAAATTTCAGAAGCTACAGACAGTAGTTTTCAGTCCTTTGCCACAGGGAGCAATTCTTTGTTGCTTTGGTGATTGAATGAGAGCGCTATGTTAGTCCTTTCTGCTTCAAGTGATGAATAAGCAAGCATCCCAGTTTCATTTCTGCTAAAAATGGCTTATACCTTTGGCTTGTATTTATTTTGCAGTCTGTTGGGCTTTAATTGTAGAATATCCTGTAAGGCTACAGCATTCCACTGGAAATTCTCAGTATTTTGAACCCTGTAATTGGGTGGAGATACAAGTAACAGTAGTTTAATCTCTGGGTTTTGAAACTGTCAAGGCAAAGCAGGTACTAACATGATCAACAAAAGCTGCTAAAAGGAGACGTTGCCTGTACCTATTTGTCTGAAAACATCCAGTGTTTGTTATGGGGAAGAGAAACTTCCCCCTAAAATGTACTTTACTTTGTCAGCTAGCTGTACAGTTGGTGCTCGTAATTGTCCTCTGCGTGTTCAGAATTAAAGCTTCTGTAATGTGTTTGTTAACCAGTTTACAAACCAGCCTTTCTTCTTACTGATTACCCCCTTTTTTTTTTTTAATCTTGCAGAGTAAGTGTGTCAAGTACTGGCCTGATGAATATTCCCTGAAGGAGTATGGTGTCATGCGTGTTAGGAATGTTAAGGAGAGTGCAGCACACGATTACACATTAAGAGAACTTAAGCTTTCTAAAGTTGGGCAAGTAAGTACGTTAGTAACTCTTCTTAATTTAGGTTGCAGATCCCCCCCAAAAAATTTGCAGAAGTAGACTGTTTCTTTGGAATCAATAAAAGCAGTAAGGGATTAATAAATTGAGCCCTCCCTCTTTCTTTGAAGCTCCAGGTTTAGTTCCATACATCTTTCTCTTTGTCCTTGGAATAATTGAAGATTCTCATACCTAAGCACTTTTTGGCAGAAGATGTACAGCTGCAGAGCTTTGAGGAAATCTGGAAAGAGGGATGATGCTTTTAAGTAATCACACTTAAGTCCATCTAGGCATTTGCTGCCCTTCATGGAGATGATTGCAGTGGAAGAAAATGGTTGTGTGTGGGTCCAGTATGCAGAGAGAACACTTAAGGGAAGGAATACAAAAGATGAGGAAGGAAACAATTAACTATTGTGGAAATAGTGCTTCCTGGTTAAGAAGCAATTTGGATCAGAGTGCAAAATGAATTGTGTAAGAAGCAAATAAGCAGGATGTATTAGATTGGTATGTCCATGGGATGGGACTGAGTGGGAAGAAGTGCATAAGGTAAGTGACACTAAGTATGAATGATGAATGTGATAGATGAAGGTCCCTTGCTGTTGGTCACTCTCAGACAGAACTTTGCCATGGCCTCTAAAGGTGAAGGTGGAAGTGTTCTTGGAAACAATTGCATGAGAAAGAGGGAACTGGGGAAGCAGGTGGTGTGATTGACTTGTCCAGCCAGGAAGAACTCTGGCCTGTTCCCTCCTTCAAGAGAGTTGTGGTGCCGTGGATACTGAGCAGCAGGTTGGATATGCCACCTTCTGATCTGACTCAGCTTTGCCACATAAATGCTTTTAGCTGGATTTTGATCTGAAGGATTTTGTTTTCCCGTGTTGGCATTTTCCTTCCAGGGGAACACAGAGAGAACAGTCTGGCAATATCACTTCAGAACTTGGCCTGATCACGGAGTCCCAAGTGACCCTGGTGGTGTACTAGACTTTCTGGAGGAGGTGCACCATAAGCAGGAGAGCATTTCTGATGCAGGGCCAGTTGTGGTCCACTGCAGGTATGGCGATACACTGTGCCTCTCCTGCTACTACCCCCTATGCCTGTGGAGTTCTGTTGGATTCCCTTTTTTTTTTTTTTTTTCTTTTTTTGACGGGGTGGAACTGAACACTTTAAAACAAGACAACTTTCCATGAGAGCTATTCAAACTTTCATCTTTCAAGATGTTTGTGCTTTCTGTTTTCCAAAATTATGTATTCTAGATAGGTGTCAAATGGTTACCTTCTAAGCAGCCTGCCTTTCAGAGTGTGCATGTCTTTATGAATAAGAATTTCTGATGTTGTATGAGAAGGTGGTACCAGTCTTGGCTAGATAAGTTTCAGGTGCAGGATCATGGAATTTCTAGTATCCCGTCCCACCTCCTGTGAGTGCTCTCTCCTCAGTCTTGGCGTATAAATGAGATACTTTTTATAAGGTAAAGAAATGTTAGATCTGATCTTGCAGCTTTTTTCTGATTCAAGGACACTAATAAACGCTGGGGTACAGAAGTGCTGTTATGGCTTCTGTCTCTTCCAAGCTAAGCTCATTAGGTCTCTAGTTAACTTTTGGCTGTGTGGCTTGCTTTGACTCTGTCTATAATTTGGAAGTCTAATGTCTTTTAATGTTAGACAGTTGGACTAGTGTTTTGGTGTCTGTTCATAAAAGGCAAAACAATTAACCTTTTTTGCCTCTTCTCTTTTTACAGTGCTGGGATTGGGCGAACAGGAACTTTCATTGTGATTGATATTCTTATTGATATAATCAGAGAAAAAGGTACGTTCACAGTCAAACAGCAGGAGTGTTGATAGAATAGAGGATTCTAGTGATGCTGCAAACTAGGCCTGTGTGTTTGGCATAGGAGGGACTTGCTCATTCCTCTTGACTTAGCTGGAATCAAAGCGCTGAAACCCTGCTCCAGTTCAGCATAATGAAAACTTTCAGCTGAGGATTAGCCAGAAGTCTGATTATGATTTCTTACTATTATTTGTGTTACTTATTGTTCTATTTTTCTTTTCCAGTCATTCATGAGTGTGTTGCTGCCAATGTACTCATGCACACTGAATTTGAGTAACTTGTTTTCGGAGAACGGTGTTGTATTTATGTATAAACTGCCATAAACACTGACTCGGCATGTATGTTGAGCTAGGTTGCATTTAAAGTCTCCTTGGAACAGTGTGAAGTGACGCATTTTTCTGTCCCAGGACAGATTTCCATGTTACGCTGCAGTTCTGCAGATCTGCATTAGTAGTCAAGGACGAATCCTCTGTGTTAAATGTTAGCAGTCTTGCTTTATTGCAAGATCATTCAACTACGCTGTGTTCTGCTGGAAGATGAGACCAGTCTCTCCTCCAAAGACAAAGTTTATTTTGTTGTTCTTAACATTATGATGATTCTTCCTAGGTGTGGACTGTGATATTGATGTTCCAAAGACCATTCAGATGGTGAGATCACAACGGTCAGGAATGGTTCAGACAGAAGCACAGTACAGATTTATTTACATGGCAGTACAGCACTACATTGAAACGCTACAGCGCAGAATTGAAGAGGAGCAGGTATAGTTGTCCTAAGTAGAAAATGTAACATAGGAACATGTTATCATTTGAACAGGGAGCAGAGTTGTTTGTTTGCTGCCTGTGACTTTTGGAGGCATGACTGTATAACCGATGCGTCATGAAAAGGCTGGGTCTGTAACCTGTTAACCCTGTTGAGAGAAGTTAGCCTATGTTTCAATTCATTACACTTAAGAATTACTCAAGCTATTAGGTAGAATTAGAAAACTGTAAAATAAAAAGAGTGTGTTTGGCCACTGGCAGAGGAAGAAAATCAGTAGTCTGAGAGGCTTCTCCATATGACTGCAAGTAGTGCTGGTTTACCTTCCATGAAAATGCTTGTATGTATGGGATCCTGTCCTCCCTGTCCCTCAGTCCCTGCACCTCCCAGATCTCAAATTCCCTTAATATTATCTAGTTTTCTGTGCAAGAAGAATAAAAGATAAGGCTCTGTTAATTACTACAGAACCTCTAAAGAGATTTAAAATCTGTTAACTGTATTTCTAAAGTATGATAATCAAATTCAAATGCTCGTCACTCTACTACCACTTTTGGAATATTAAAGTACATGTTTATTAGTAAGAGGTAAATATATTGGACTTAAAGATTAAAGAATGAGTGTGGCGATCTTGCAGTACAGTGTCCAACAAAAAGCAGTTAGAGGAGTGATTTGGTGTGGTAACATGAGAAAAATTTTGGAATATGAGGTGACAATCACAAGACCTTCACCTCACTCTTCCTGTTTAAGTACTTCACTGCACTCAAATTCTACAGCCTTTTACAGAAGGTACCGTTTTTTATAATAAAGATCTGACATTCTACTCACTGTTGCTTTCATTCCCTGCCCTAGCCCCTGGTCATCTGGGATTTTTATCTTTTTGTTTCAGAATTTCAGTATCTTCTGCAGCTGGCTTGCTGTGCAGAAGAAGATAAACCCACACAACTGATCAGGCAGGTGTGGGGAGCTGCGTGGTTAGCGCAGTGCCAGGTGTGAGATGTTTAGAGATGGAGTGTGCCAGCTTGGGCTTGGCACTCTTGTGTGGCTTCTGGCTGCTTTGGAGTGTGGCAGAGCTTATTTTATATTTGCCTACGTGGTGTAGATGCGCTGTTCAGCTAAGAGGATAGAGACTTTATTCCTCTCCCCAGGACAGCTGTTGTGTGCTCTGATGGTGATTAGACACAAAGTGAAGAACAAGAAATCCCTCAGGTGTACTTTTTTCCCCCTGGCTTTGTTGTCTCACTTCCCCTTAGAGCTGCCTCATATCTCTCTGTGTGTAATTATGCAAGCCTCGTATCCTCAGCTTTTTGAATATGGTCTCCTGCTGCTGCTGCCATTTACAAAATAGATCTGTAACTCTCTCTTGACTGTTATAATGGGTTTTGAATGGTATTTTGGTATTGAGTGGAGCAGTGTATTTCTGCTGTAGTGATGAGGCTCAGTCAGTTGTGTTTCATCCTGTATTGCATTACTAGCTCAGAAGGCACAAGTATAAAAGTTTAAGAAACTGGAAACAGAGCATTGCTTTACCTCAGGAGGTCTTGATCTGTAACTAGGGCTAGTGGCAGCTATATAGGAATAAAACAATATAGAACTTCTCAGACAAAAGCAAAGCTTTGTGGTGACTGTAGGAGCTAATGTTCTGACAAAACCATGGTGAATTGGGAGTGCTCCAAAGTGTGTTTTGACAGAGCAGGAAAACATGTGGCTGAGTAGTAGAATACTATGCAGAATGCTTGACTTTCACCCCAGAACGATAGTTTGGGAATGAAACACTGTTTTGAGAAACTTTAACTTCTGGAACCTTCTTCTCCACGCTTGCTTTAATTGCAGTTGCAAACAGTGAAAGTTTGAACAAAAAAAAAAAAAGAACAAAACAAAACTGTTGAAGTCAATTAGGGCACCTCTATAGGAAAGAATGTGAGGTCATGCTCCGTGTCTGCTTTCCGATCTGGATGAACACTAGTCAGCACTGATAAGAAATTAGGTAGTCACATTAGCTAGCCCGTTGTCATGCAGACTTAGAACCAGCTGGACTGAAGAAGTGGGTCTGTGAGTAGCTGCATCCGTTCACATAGACGTGCCTGATTTTTGTTTGTAGTCAGGGAAAAATGCTCTGCTAGCATTCCATTGTATTGCAATGCTGAGAGAGCCTCAAGGTTTCATAGACTTAAGTGTTGTGTTAAATATTGCCTGTCTTCTTACAAGTGTAGGAGAAAAGTAAGTGAATTTGGTTTAGCTTGTGGGTTTTTGTTTTGGTTTTGTTTTGTTTTTCCCTGTGGAAATGTGTATATTCTCTTATATCTAGGCAAAACATAGTTCTTGCCCCATTTCTATTATTCTGAAATAGAAAGGATAATTACAGTGAATTAAGTGGAAAGAAGAGAAGCCAGATATCTACCTTTTTTGGCTTGTTTTGTTTCAGTCAGCTTAAATAATAGAAGATCTGACTGATTCTTTTTAAATTGGTTTTATTGTGCAGTACCTCTGTAACTTGAACTGCCATTCATCACGCAGCTTTGGGGGTGGGGGTGGTGGAAATCAAGCTCTAGTTTTGGGCTTCAGAATGTTATTGGCCAGGTGAGGGGTGTGTACCCATAACACTGCAGAATGCAGCAGAGTCTGAACCTTTGTGTTTTATTTAAATCTTCTTTTTAGCATTAACCTTCCAGGCAATTGATCTGGACTGGTGGTCTGTTTGAAAGTGATTTGTCAGGAGTAAGTAGGAGGCTGAGAGGGGAGAAGTTCAGTAAAATAACAGACAGAGTTGAGCAAGTTTCAGAAGGCCGTCTTGGAAAAACTTCAACCTACATTGCTGTACACAACGTTCCCAATGGAAACTCAGCAGCCAGATCTTCCCCAGAGGCTCTGACAACCTCTGTTGTGAGATTGATTCAGGGTAGTTATTTAGTATTTGTTCAAGCATTTAAAAAAACCCCAACCAACCAGAAAAAAAAACAAGCCCTGAAAAGCCCAGTACCCTGTTAAATTTTGAAGTGAGGCTTTAATTTATATGTAGGTTTCAGTGTATGCACGTGTTGTGAATGCTTGTCTTGAAAATTAAGAAAGCCATATCCCCTTTCTTTCGTAGTGTAGCTTTGCTTGCTGGAGCCTTCAGTATCTTTAGATGAATGCCAGCACAATTGGCTGCAGCTTGTAACATATGCTGCAGAATACAAATAACAGCTTGGGTTCTTTTTATATCAAACCTAATGGGCTAAGATGTTATTTTATTAGAGATCTTGCAAACAACGTTGTTACTCATTTGGCCACATCTCCAAGCTGGAAAAAAGGTCAGTGGGAAGCCCACTGGCTGGTGCTATCAAAGAATGAAGTGTGGTTTCTTCTGCCAAGTAAGATGAAGATTGCATATGAGCACTCGTTCGTAAGGTTGGTACATTCTGCTGGAGATGGTGGTGGACAGAGGAATATTGAAAAATGAGGCTTTTCAGGTCTTGTAACAAATAGCTAAAGCCAACCTTTAGGTCTTATCCACGTTGTGTGTGTTATCTGCAGAATTGAGCTCTCGCTTGTAGACAAACCTTTCATCTAAAAACGTACATGGTTAGTTACACATGTAGTTTCTGCACTACTTCAGTGACTGTTTTCTATTAGTAATCCAAAACCTGGCTTTTTGTTGTGTTTTGCTTCACAGAAGAGTAAGAGAAAAGGTCACGAATACACAAACATTAAATATTCTTTATCGGACCAGACAAGTGGGGATCAGAGCCCTCTTCCACCCTGTACACCAACCCCAACATGTCCAGAGTAAGTTCGCTTCTGTTGTTAGTGTGTAAGTTTTTAACTGTACTACGTAATCTTCAGGGACCTCGAACGAGAATGAGTTAACACAGAATCTGCCCTAGACTCTTGCCCTGTGCTTTGCTCTTAAACTAAATGGAGCAAAAAAAAATTGTCACCAAATTATATTGTGTGTACAAATATGGTTTTTCTCAAACTAGATTCTTTGAACTGTAAATACTTGTTTCATTTCAGAATGAGAGAAGATAGTGCTAGAGTATATGAAAATGTGGGGCTGATGCAACAGCAGAAAAGCTTCAGATGAGAAGATGTACAGAGACTTCCATGCAAAGGCACGTATATATGTTCAAGAGGGCGTGTGCACATCCAGCCTGGAGTTGTGGGGATTGGAAAAAATGTATGTGAAGCCAAACTATGAGAAGAACTGTAGGAAGGACTTTCTAATGCCCCAAATGCATGTAATCTATCCCCCTTAAGGTGTTTAAATTCCAGAAGCAAATTTTGATTGAGTTGCATCTATGTCTACCCTTTCAAAACAGCATGGAATATTAGCTTGGTAGTTGGGCCTTTGTTCTCATGCCCTGACTCACCAGTGGCATAAGTTGGAAGTCTTTGTTATTCAGGAGACTGAAATTCTGCATGCTACCAATTGATGATGAGTAACAACTGTAGCCTGAACTTCCCATGTCTTTTAAAAGTGATTTTTGCTCCTGGTTGATGATAATAAGCATTTGCGTGCATCTAAAGAGATTCAAAGAACGCTTAAGCTCATGCTCAGCCTCATAAAAGATGTGATGAGCAAAGTTACTGCTGTGCCTGCGTGGTGTGAGTAGTTAGTTGTAGTATTGTTGTCATCTAGCAAAAAATAAATCCTTTTGCTGGAAGAGAAATATGTAGATTCTCTTTGTTATGTGTTAAATTTGTTATGATTTGGTTCTTCCAATCAGACAACTGCATATATATATGTATGTATAGGTTATTAGCTGTGAATACAGCAAAGGAATACCTTTGAATTTAAGGTGTCTTTAGCCATTAACTTCTTTTGGATTCTGATCTAAAGCCTTTTGTTACCTTTCCCCCTGTGTTTTCAAAGACCTCAGAAATTCTATTTTCCCTTTTCCATTTGGTAACTGTAAGTGCATTTAATCCATTTAGTTGAGGGACCTTCTCCAAGTTTATACGTGATCTCATCTTCTACTGCCAAAGTATCACGCAGTTTATAAGGAGGGTTTGAGACTTTTGGTTGAGTTTAAGGCTTTCTTGAATCAAAATTGAGCACTTCTGTATAATGACAGAATAAGAAATAACTGCTGATTTTTTTCCTAAATATTTTATTTTCTCCCTTCCTTTCCCAGAAACGAATATGGTTTTTAAAAAGGTCAAGAAAGAGGTGGAAGAAGCTTCACATGAACGGTGAACTCTGAGGGCTTGGTACCTTTTTATTTACGGTTTTAATCCTTCAACAGTAGGCAAATCTTAAGACCATCTAAAGATTGTTTATATCTCTTCTCTCCAATACCTGATTTACAATTGCTCATTTTCCAAATAAAAGGAAATCCTTTCTACAATGTAGACAACTACTTTGTAGAGTCAGTTTTGAATCCTGCAAACTGTTGGACTGTCATCCATTTGTTTTTTAAATAGTATTTTTGTTTCACAGTATGGCTATTAGTTGGGGTTTTTTCCTTATTTGAGCAGTTGTGGGATTTTTGGGGGGCGGGCGGGTGGGGGG